AAAGAAAGAAAGATAGATAGATAGATAGATAGATAGATAGATAGATAGATAGATAAAGCCATGCATGGTAGTGCACGCCTGTAGTCCTAACTACTAAGGAGACTGAGGTAAGAGGATCGTTTGAGCCCAGGAGTTTGAGGTTGCTGTGAGCTATGACGCCACAGCTCTCTACCCAAGATGACAGAGAAAAAAAAAGGAAAGAAAGAAAAGAAAAAGAAAAAGGGAACAAAAAGAAGGCAGAATTAGAGCCCAAGTCAGGGAGAGAAAACTAGGCAAAGAACCAAAGAATAAGGGGAGAAGGGCTGGTGCTGGCCATGAGCAGCCTGTGGCCATGCTGGCTCCAGCTTGGACTCTAGATCCTGAGCATCAGTGAAGGGGATCAGAAGGGTGGGTGGGGCCAGGCCAACAGAGTGGCAGGTGCCCAGACCTGAGGCCCCCTACCTTCCTTGCCTCCAGCCTCCCCACACCTGCATCACCTGCTCCTTGATCCTGCAGAGCTGTTACTTCCCCTGGAACCTTCCACTGCCAACTTCCACTTCTCTGTCCCATGTACTAAGCCTCTTTCTCTTAACTGCACCTTTCACAGAGGTTTCAAACATGTTCAAGTGTTTTCTACCTAAGGAAAAAAAAAAAGACTCTCTCTTGACTCACATCTCTTTCTAGCCCTTGTCCTATTTCTCCTCCCCTTTTCCCAACTTACCATCCTGAAGGAACTGTTTCAAACAGCCCTTGCTAACGTTGCTATTGGCGCATGTGTGGTTAATCTTACCTCCTCCATTCCCCCTTCACTTGGCCAACCCATTCTCCATCATTTGGTCTTGATGTTTGGAGGGACACAGAGCTGAGTCCTGAGCCCTCTCTTCACCCAGTGATGGCTTTTGAGTTGATCCCTTTCAAACCTATAGCCGCAGCTGTCCTCACCACACCAGTACGTATCCCAGCCCAGACTTCCCTACCCACCTAGACCTGTATTTACATCTGTGCAATGTCATCTCAGCCCCTCCGCCAGGATATCTTAGAGGTCCTGCAACTTCAATATAGCCAAAACCAAATTTACGTTCTTCCTTCTTCCCCTAAACTGGTCCTCCTCACAAGTTTCACAACTCAGAACACAGCACTGTCATGTGTCTGGGGGTTTAAGCCAGTAATGGGGACTTTGGCCTTGATACCTTTCTCTTCTTCTCTCCCTCTTCCACCCCAGTGCATCCCCAAACTCTGTCAACTTTATTGTCCAAATGCCTTTTGACTCGTCTACTTCTCTGCATTTCCACCACCACCATCCAGAGTCCAAGCCCTCAGCATCTCTCACGCAGATGACAGTGACAGCCTCTTAAGCAGCCCCTCCCCAATCTGTCTTCCACTCTATAGACAAAGTGCAAGCTGGCTTGCTGCTTAACACTTCAGCAACCTCCCTTGGCCCTGAAAATAAATGCCCAGTTCCAGGTGGCCCTTCCGGAATCATCTCACCTCATTTGCCCTCCGGGCCTTCTAGTTATACTGGCTTTCTTTCAGTTCTTTGGCCAAGCTACCTTCTGCCCCAGGACATTTGCACGTGTTGCGCCTGCTGTGTGGGAATGTGCTACCCAAAGCAGTAGGTGCTAACCGTGTGTGGCTATTGAGCACTTGAAACATGGCTAGTGCAACTGAAAAATGGAATTGTTAATGTTATTAAATTTTAATTAATTAAATCTAAAATTTAAAAACATTCCATTCAATTACTGGAAAACTGAATTTTTTTTTTTTTGAGAGAGAGAGAGAGTTTCACTTTGTCACACTGGGTAGAGTACAGTGGCATCATAGCTCACAGCAGCCTCAAACTCCTGGGCTCAAGCCATCCTCTTGCCTCAGCCTCCCAAGTAGCTGGGACTACAAGTGAGCACCACCAGCCCAGCTAGTTTTTAGAGATAGGGTCTCCCTCTTCCTCAGGCTGGCGTGGAACTCTGAGCTCAAGCAATCCACCCACCTTGACCCTCTAGAGTGCTCAGGTTACAGGCATGAGCCACTGCGCCCACCAAAAACTGAATATTCTTAAAACAATTTCACTATTGGAATCTTCTTTTTCAACTTCAATTCTTTTTTTTTTTTTTTT